ACATTCACATCCACCGACCGCCGACCGGCTCCATCTTTGTCTGCGTCTGTGCTGTGCTGTGCTGTGCTGTGCGGTGGCCATGGCCAATGTCTACACAACAAGGTGACGGCTCATAATGACGGCTCTTGGCTCTCGGCTCTTGGCTCTTGGCTCTTGGCCATGGCCAAGAACGTGAGCACCGATGGGCCGGGCTGCCACGGATCGGCTGGGATCAAATCGGGCTGCGTTCAGGCGTTTGCACCTCCCATGGCTGAGGATGAGCATGAGGATGGGTACGGGTATGGGTATGGGTATGGGTATGGGTATGAGTGTGCGTCGCCGGGTATCGCTCCCTTTAACCGCAACACTGTGAGAAAATGTGGCATCCGAATTTGAAAACAAAATAAACAGAAACACGCATCCTCAACACAAATTTAGCTTGCATTCATAAAAAGCTTAATAAAAATGTACAGAAACATAAATAAATAATTTACACATCGAAATTCATATTTACAAAAAAAAAAAAATATTAAAAAATCAAATTATTATAAACCATTCCCAAATCAATTTAAGCAAGAGCACATACTTTCCTTCCAAAATATAACCTTAATAAAATATTTGGAAATAAATATAAATAATCAAGATAAATATTATGTACAAATTAAGAAACCATTCGCTTATGTATATTCATATATATTGAAATGATATATGCAAAAACAGCTTATAGTCTGTATATGAATATTGTACACCTTTTTTATCAGAACTATTTTTTACCTAAGCTAATCACATTTTGTTTAAATAAAACGAAATAATATAAATTTTCAGAATATTTTCTTGTACAACTTATTTATCGGAAGATTTTGTTATGTAGACTAAGAATATAAAGTTTCATGTTTTTGTTTAAATAAAATAACTCATTTTTTTCATTTGTCAAAGTAAAATAAATTCCGGAAACTTTCAGGTTGGAAAAATTAACTTTATCATCAGGGGCTTATAAGGCAGAAAACCATTACAGATAATCATAAGACTAAGAGATTTGGAGCAATACGTAAAAATAAGAAATCTTGAACAAAAACCAGAAACCAAATTATATATAATAAATTAATGGATTTGATACAGACTTACCAAGAATTGCAGTACTTTTCTTGCAGTGCACTGTACCTTTGATGGTCGCTCCATATGCATCCGTCTTCCAGCCCCCCTCTCCGTCCCTCCTGCGACGCTCCTGTGGCTCCGTTTTTGGGGCTTTGTCGAGGGGCGTTACCCGGTGATCATCACGCATTTGCGCCACCCCTCGGCCCAACCCCCCTCCCCGTCCGTGGGGCAACCGCTACCCCCGCCGGGGCTGCCTTAATGGGTGTTATTTTGTTTTGCCGTAAATATTTTTGCAATGGGCGCTAATTAAGTTTGGCTCTTTTTGGGCTCTTTTGACTGCATCCTTCGCACTTTGTTATGTGTGAAACTTTTAAAATTCGTTGGGTCGGCAAAGATGAAAACCGCGCCGTGGCATCCCCTCAAATTGGTGGGCATTAAAGGCCCCGCCATTCCCTTCGCCCCCCGCTTTGCCACCATCCGCAGGAAGTATCAACACGGTCAGCTATTAATCTTCAATTGCAAATTGCTCATACGCCATGTGGCAATGCGAGCGCTCTATGAATGAACCTAGTGAGTAAACGTGTGTAGAACGATGAGTAAAACAAAAAACAAAAAACGAAAAAAAAAAATCCGGAAAAAAACCAAACCCTGCGCCCTGACACTGCAGCCAATTTCAATAGCCGTAAAATATTTGGTATTGTTTTCTCGCCCCGCGATTTCGCTGCTTTTATGACTCACTCACACAACTCACTGCCTCATTCGCCTCCCGACTTTGCAGCTTTTAGTTGCTGTTTCAAATCGATTGGACAATAAATTAGCATTATGCGGTTACAGCCACTCAAATTCCTCGTGATGAGCTGGCAGCATCCACATCTCGTCGACTGCGGCGGGTTCAAAGTTCTCTGCGGGGGGGAAAAAAAAAACGGGAAAACTGGAAAACGGGAAAACGGGGAACTCTTATCAGCAACTAACTTCCACAGATTGCAATCACAAGACATTATATCATGATTTTTATGCCCACTCATTTCGCGTACGATTTTATAGAATTGCGATTACATGACTCGAACTTGTTGGAAAACAGAATTCATAAGTGATCTTATTGGCAGCACACTCCGGAAGTTGTATATTAAAATGATATCAACGCAAATTTCCCTCAAAATGTTCTTTTAAATTATCTTATCTGATTTGTGAGACCTACAATGTATTATATTTACATTATTTGAATGACTTGTTATCATTTTTCTTTAAGAAAACAGAGGTTTGTTATGATTTTACGTGTTACAATTGTTTAAAACTTAATACATTTTTCAAAAATATTTCTGTTATAAGCCCGATAATATATGCTTTTCATGTACTTCACATGCTGTCTTATTAAACTGTAATAAAATAATTTACTTTCCAATTCCAACTTAAATAAAACCTTCTCAAAATATTTTAGCATCGATTGCATTCGGTCTCGAAATACACTTAACAAGTCACTTAAAATGTTACATTTTGTGTACAATAAGTATTAATTTAGCTCCAGATAAGAATCGAGAAAGTTATTCCCCGTTGAACATTTCCACTGGACACCTGGACAAGTAGTTAATCCGCTTACGTGTCACGTACTATGCCTTTAAAGCTAAAGTTCATTCTCGTTTTTTTCCACCATGCAAAATCTCCAGCACTATAGTGTCTATAGGCTATAGCCAAAAACATTTCCACTATGTACATTGTTTCCCAGCCATGTTTTCCCACTGAACTGATCGCCAGTCATGCAATTGCCATTCATTTAAATCTCGCCGAGAGACACAGGGTTTCCCATGTGCCGCACGCGTGTCTCATTTCGCCCCCACATGATCGCCGGCAAAGACGTCAAATATTACTCATACGCCACCGCCACCGCCATCGACATACCCCAGTAGTCATCGCCATCAGCTGTCATGCATTAGCCATTAGGGTTTTACACTAACGCCACCGAATATGATAATGATTGCGATAATATAGACAACGACGGACAAATTCGACGACCGAATACCCAATTTCGGGCATTAGACAGTGCCAATTGGACAGATCAATACGATAAGCCAAAGTCAAAAGCCACAAATACGCGATCGGTACCAGTGTTCGACACAATAGTTTAAAAATAGCTCGGCTCAATCATGACAATCATTTCTACAATACGTTTGATTGACCGCCCGCGGTGGGTGGTGGGTCGAAGGGGGGCAGAGAGGAAATTGAGGTTTCCGAGCGGTAAACGGAGACATCGCCGCCACTTGTCCATGAGTAACGATGAGCGCTCAATAACTTTTCGATTGATCATGTTTTTGGCGCGCGGTGAAATTTAGACCGCGTTTTCAGACAGCCACGCCCCCACCCTCCACATCCCCCCCCATTTGGGCATCCGCATTCTGTGAGCGGACCCCTCGAGCGGCAACCATGAATGAATCGCTGTGTTTTAACGAGCGTGAGAGCTCGACTGCGAAATCTTGTCGTCATTGCCGTCCGTCGGCCGACTCCGCGTATGAGTAATATTCTTGCGAAATTGAACGGAAATAACTGAAATTCAGTATTTGCGGGGGTTACATTGCAATCCGAATCGGCATCGGCATTGGCATCGGGATCGGAATCGGAGAACCGGAGAACCGGAGAATCGGAAGTGACAGTGACAGTGAGTGAAAGTCATGCGATAAGAGCCCACATTCTCACTCTTCATTTTTTTCCTCGGAGACCGGCAAATGAAGTGTGTTTTGTTTATCTGCGAGCGGGAGAGCCAGATATCTGGGGCCTTATACACTGGGCCTTATCTGGCCGAGATCGGCCCACCTAACGATCGATCAACTGCTCCACTCGGCTCGGCAAATGTGTCATGCGCTGGAGAGCGCTAACTTGCAATGACAATTGAGTGCTTCGCGTATTTCTCGTTGTGTCGAAATCTGGCTGGTCTAATCAATAACTAAACGGTTTTTTTTTTCACGGTCATTAAGGCTGGGTAATATTGGCCATAAATCTATTATGTTCGCACTAAGCTGGCAATACATTGCGGGCATATTACCACAAATGCTAGGGGCTGACTAACTAAGTAGAACTTTTTAACTTTATTTACTATACATTTTAATTTGCATAGAGATTGATCTCCTTACAAAGTTGTATTCCATTAAAAATGTACTTGAAATAATGAATTAAATATTTATTTAAATTCTTCAAAAATTATATTACTATTTTTAATTATTGTAATATTTTTCTAATAATTATTTAAAATAATTTAAGTATTCGGCTTGACAACTTCCATTGTAAGCCAATCGTTTTCTTTGTTCCTAACTAACTTAAACTAACCTTTTTGGGAAATGATATACTCCTTTCCTGCATGATTTTGTGGGAAGTCTATACTGGTTTTTGCTGCTCCATCTACAGGGTAACCTCCGGTCCAAACGCACTTGTTCTTAGACATTTTTTGCTTGTCGCTCGCTCAGCTGTGTTCTTTTATGGCCTTTTCGCTTTGTTTTTGGCACTCGGCGAATGTTTTGAGCGCTTTTCTTGCGCTGCCCTGGAGATTGCACACTCATGCCGGCCAGCCAAAACGAGGCACTCACGTCCGTCGAGAGAGGCTCTCCCGCTCCCACTCCCGCTCCCACTACCGCTCCCACTACCGCCGCAGCAGCAGTTGTCTCTCTTCCGCGAGCGAGCGGACCGGCAGTTGGGCGTCCGCCTCCTCATTAGTATGCTCATAGTAACTGAGGAGTTCAGTCCAAATAGCTGGGCTGCATGCGAAAAAGAAAAGCAGAGCTAAAGTAAAGAAAAGGAAAGGAAGACGAGAAAGCCACTCCAATCCAATCCACTCCACTTCACTCCACTCCACTCCACTTCACTCCACTGAGCTCTCGGCGGTGGCAGCGCTCTCCACGTCCGGCTCTCCAGAAATCGACTGCGACTTCAGCGACTTGCGACTTGCGACCAACTTCGACGGCGGGCGATTCGATCGGATCGGAATCAAATCATAGCAGACAGTCGAAGGCAACGCGTCGACACTTAACGCGATATAGTCCCGCTCTCAACGAAAACTACAAAAAAAAGTTCGCCAATTTTACGTGTCCGCGTTTGTTTTGTTTTGGTTTTTTTTTTCTTTTTTTTTTTCGTTGCGTTCTGGAAGTTTCCTTCCGCAAAAAAAGAAAAACTTCCGGCTAAATAAACCGAAAAAAAAGTGTCAAATCTGAAATTTGTGCGAAATTTTCAGCCAGCGATTTTTATGTAAATGGTAAGTAAAAGTGATTTGTTTGGTTTAAGTTCTAGATTACCCAAATTGTTTTTGTAAAATGTCATATAATGGTCAAAAATGTCTGATAAGAGATCAGAAATAGTTATTCATCAGTAGGAAGCGGCATTTCGAACTCTAGCTTCCTGTGACTCTGGCTGCTTGTGAATCACAACATTATCAGGCATCCAAATGCCAAATTGTCAGGAAAACAAACAGACAGCTTCCAATGGAACTTTTTTTTTTTTTTTTATAAATGAATCACAGAATGTTTGAGTATTACAGTTACGAATATGCATATGTTTTTGAGGACTCTATTGTAGTTCTTTGGGGCTGCCTGAAAACCTTTCGAAAATTCGAAAAAAAAAAAAACACAAACAACAAAAGAGCGAAACATGTGAAATTAATTTACACGTTCCCAGTGCAAAAAAAGAAGAAGAGGGGTAGGGGGTGTTTGGCAGTTGGTAGTTGGTAGTTGGTAGCCGGCAAATGGATGCGTCAGCGGTAGAGGCAAAAAGCGACAACGATTTGGCATGGACAAGGTCCGGAGGAACAGGGAGGGGGCGATAAAGCCAAAGAGAGACGGACGACGCGAGCGAATTTCACAAAAGTTTGCAAGAAGAGTCAAGTTCGTTGACCATAATGTCCAGTTAGATACAGATACAGATACGTGTGGATCGAACAGGGCCTACCCCACCACTAGTACCAAAAGTACCACCTGCCAATGTGCCAATCGTCAAGCCAACAACAGTCGACCTCTAGCTCCCCGACACACGATGATTCAGCCAGAAAATGCGGCCAAATAAAGAAATTTATTTTTAATTTTCAATAATTATGTCAGCCAGATAAGGACAGCAATAGCCGAAGCAATGGCAATAGCAATAGCAATAGCCAAAAAAGCGCCAACGATAACAATAACAAATCACGCACGCTTCGGGCCCCCAAACAATTGCGATTATATATTGTATATTGTATGCTATATGTATGCCCAGGCGGGAATCCCCGAAAGCACTGCCAACAATTATCATCGTCGCCCGCCCACTAACACACATGCACGTGTTTTGGGTTTTGGGTTTTGGGTTTCAGTTTTTGTTTTGGCTTGATATTAAGCTAAAGTGGTGGTGGGGGTAGATACTATATATAACCAGTCGGTTCGGTTCAGTTTGGTTCATACACGTGTCCGTTAGTCTTGACTTATGGTAATTGGCGGGGAAGACATTTGGCCATTTGGCCATTTGGCCATCGCTGCTCGTGCACCCAAGCCCTCATTTTGGCCAATTTAGAGGTTTAAAAAATATCACTGAAAATCGGCTAGACTGATAGATGGCTAGATAACCTGTTGCGTTTGCTTATGCTAAATAAGGTTTAAGGTCTGTGCGCTTTGGCATTAAAAACCCTTTTCCATATCTTTTATTTTGTGTTGTTTAGACGACAGCTGCCCGCCCGCTCGACGTCAGCAGGAGCAGGAGCAGCAGCGGCAGCGGCAGCACAACGGCCAGCACAAGGGCACCCACCACGGTACCGCCGCCGCCGCCTGTGGATCGACGTCATCCGAACCGAATCGTTTTGCTGGTAACGCTGGCGCTGATCATGAGCCAACTCCAGCAGTTCACCACCTCCGGCGGCGGTAGTGGCGTCTCAGCTGCCACCACACTGGAGACCATCCCACTGAAGCACCTGCAAAAGCGCAGTGCAGCCACTTTCCGGCTGCGCTTCCAAAAAGAGCTAAATGCCAGCAGTATGCATCTGGATTGGGAGAATACCTGTGGCCACAAGTGGACAGGTCTGGATGCTAAGCGCCCACGCCAGGCCAAACGCTGCAAGAAGCGACAGATGGTAAGTTTCTGGCATTAGAGAGCCTTTTTTGAAGGAGCAAATTTAATGGACTCCCCCCCCCTCCCCAAACAGATCCTGCAGAGCCTGCAGAACGAAACGGCCCGGGAATTGAGGAATGTGCAGGCCGAGGACAAGGCCAGGACCACAACGAATCCGGATCAGCTGGCCACCAAGAACTTGAAGGCCCTCAATATCATGAAGAAGCGACGGTGGACGCTGCACAAAGTCAACTACAAGTTTCTGCCGCGTCTAAATGCCAGCAGTTTGCAGGTGAGCTAAATACACGATACTACTATTTCCCCAACTTCATTAGTGGGGTGTGAAGAATCATTCCAATCAATGATCATTTACAAACATCAAACATCAAACACCATAAAGTGGGCTCCTCTGTTGCCAGGGAGCAGTTTGATAAAGGTGATAAAAATGAGGGTCACGTGAGTTTTGCGTAGGTGCAAACAGACCGTCACAAGCTAACTGCGAGTGGATCGGTCATATGAGTCCGAGTTCGAGTTCGACTCTTGGGAATCGTGTCAGCCAGAGCGAGAGTAGTCACTAAAGTTTGGCTTACTAACTAAAATAATCACTGACATTAACACATTCTTAGAAGAACTTCATTTTGTGGGAGAGAAAAGTTAAAAGCTTATTGAATAATTTCCCTTAAGCCCTTAAGTTTTCGATCGCACCTCGCCCCGATTCGTCAGCATTAGCCAGCATTTCGGGACGCCCCATTAGCCGTCGATTTGCATTGGCAAACAACAACAGCGCGAGGGGACACATTAGCAATCGATGCCATAACCGCAGAAAGATTAAGAGCAAATTGACGGCGCGCGCTCGCTTTTTTCGAGTATCGTTTATATAGATAAACCCCCCGAATAACCCCCCTCTGCCTGCAAATCGGCCTTGATCCAAGATCACGTTTTATGGCCCCTATATTGGATCGATCCGATTTGAAACCGAATCAAAGCTGAAGCTCCCGCCACTCAAAAGTTCAAATCAAAAGTCTCTCATTTCGAAGTGGATAATTCGTTGCACAAACAATAGAAATTTTATTTACACTTTTGACAAGTAAACAAACAACAAGCCGGGAGCTAATGAAATTTTCAATTGGATTCGCCATCGATATCTGAATTATACACTAATGTGCTGATGGACAGAGGAAAATTATGAAGTCGAGAGTCTGCAGTGACCACACAATTTCATTTCACCGATGTGTGTAACAAACGACATCGTTTTGGGGGGCTGGGAATTCGGAAATAGTTTCGCCCTGGCATGGGAAATGAGCAGTCCAGCTGAGGAAAAACCCGAGGTGTCCGATAAACCAGTGAATAATGTTCGACGCTTCGGTTAGGTGGGGCAAGTGGGGAGTGTGTGGAGTGTATGGAGTGTAGGCTCAGGAATGTAGGAGCCAGTATTCGCGGAATAATTGACTTATCGTAGAGCCGGCTTATCGTAGCGAACGGCGGGTACAAGTCAATACGACGGGACCACATGACACGAAACCAAGCCGAACCGAACCGAACCGAACCAAAACCGTACCCCGAAAAAGGGTCTAGCCCACATCTTGGCGAGGATCGACATCCGTTGAGGGGGTGGATCGATCGAGATCGGTTTGGTTCGACTCTAGTTCCATCAACGTGCTAATTTGGAGGTGTCCGGTAAAGTTTCGTGTAAGACAGTATTATCTGCAGATAACCAGATGAGGGTAGTTCACTTGGCATACTCATAAACGCTTTTATTGTGGGGGGCGGGGCGGCATAAAGCCAACACCTTGACCACGAAAACAGCCGACTCACCGCAAGTCAGCAACTGTGGCATTCAGGTTACAATGGTCTCAAAGGTCGACTCCCAGTTTGGAGTATTTTTCTATTACCCGTTCTGCTAAACTTAGCCAACGCCATCATAGTCAGTCACCAATCGCTCCATTCAGACACTCATTTGCCGATTCACTCAATCGTCTATTCAGGGCGATGAGCAAAGTTTGGCTTTCGCTGAAATTTCTCAATTGTCGTCATAGGTGGGGAAAAGTACCTGAAACTGAGACCACACGGCAAGAAAACTATGGATATTTAAATTAAAATAAAAAGCTTAAGCCTTTGGGTATGTTAATGAAATATAAAAGGCTTGAGACTTTTAATTAAAGACTCAATTTTATAAAAGATTTTACAACCAAAAAAACACGTTCTATAAAAACATTTTCACTTTGTTCGCATTGGCAAATAAAATGTTTAAGCCTTGGGGTATTAAATTAAAAAATAAAATTTTTAATTTTAAAATAGATTTTAGTTCATAAACTTTAAAATAAAGTGTAGAGACATTTAAATGAAAAGTAAAAGGCTTAAGGTTTTTGTTTATAAATGTGAAAAAATGGTATAAAGTTGAAATTAATAAACAACATATTTTTTTTTAAAGAAAAAATTGTTATATATAAATTAGATCATAGACCTTAAAGTAAAATCTTTTCTCGCTCTGTACCAAGCTGCAAACTTGCCGCTCGGGATGTGTGGCTTGTCAATATTTGTCCAATATCGGCTACGTCAATGCCGATTGCGCCAACTAATTGTTGACATCGGAACAGAGCCCAGAACGGAACTCGATTCGGGCCCATCGAATCCTCTGACGAGGTGCCAAACCACGGGCTGATAGAAGAACTCTATTTATAGGTTTCGATACTGAGAAGCGAGCGGCGGTGGCCTTTTTACGTCACGGCGACACTCGCACACTCGCACATTCGCACATTCGCATATTCAAAAGCGTCGATAGTTTGAAGAAAAAAGTTGAACGTTGATATGTTTCAGCAGTTCTCTACGCTCATTTATTGCAAATGACACACTGCCGTTTGTTGGGCGCTACGGGGATGGTACTGGATGGCAAGGGGGCTATACGAATACGTATACGTGATATGTGATTCATGCCAGCCGAGCCGTGGATTCCCCCAAAACGCAAGCAAGAGCGAGCGAGAGAGAGCGAGTCGCGAGCGGCATGAATGAAACGAAGACACGACGAATACGTCACGAGCGAGCAGCCGAAGCGCAGCCGAGACCTCGAAAAAAAATACAAAAACAGTTACGAGAGAGCGCCGAGCGTTCGGCTCGATTTTCACTTTCAGCCGCCGGGCAGATAACGTTTTTTTCGGGTGATGGTGGGGGGGGGGGGAGGGGGTGCGAAGTCAACGCAGCAGCGCAGCCAACGCGGGTTCACTCAACCCTAAACAATTGAACTGTAGGTAGGGCTATATGGGCATAGTACTACTAAATATATGCCATATAGATAGTCGGCACGTAGCACGTTCACATATCCAGAGTTTCGTGACTTGTAATACCTTAATTTTACAATTCCATAATGGGATTTTTATTGCGAGAACTAAGACAATTATTAAAGGCTTTTATGTTATCAACAATACCCGATTGCTTGAAAAATATCAGAACCAAAAAGAAAATGACATAAGATGTGACTGTGATCTTAAATCGTGATGAATATATTAGGTATTTAACATCTTTTACCATCAAATTAATTTTAAATGGGTTTTTGTATTAAATTCCTGGAAAATATTGCTTGAAAATTGGAATGTCAAACTTTGTCATACAATTTATTTATTACGATGAGTCTTTGCAAAGAAAGCTATACAAAGCAGTCAGTCTCTCTTAAATGCAAAAGTAGTGCAATAGTATATTAAAGAGAGATAAACAAACCTTGTGGCTTCGAAACTTATTTTTAACTAATGATCATAGAGTAAACATCACATTATTATTTTTGTTATTATTATTATTTATGTCCTGATGAAGCCAACTAAACGGATTCCCTTTTTTTCGTCCGCCCATTCCAGCTGAACCTGCGCCATGTGCACCGGGACCTGCAGTTTTATGTGGGCGCCTTTAGCTACCTGCGGCACGCCAAGATGCACTGGGACTACGCCAATTTGCAGGCGGAGAGCGTGCTGTCCGACGAACTGCAGCGGATGCGCGTTGCGGCGAGGCGCGTGCTCTGCAGCGTGGAGGGGGCCATCAACCTGACCAATCTGCTCTACGGCTCCAAGGCTCGTCATCAGCGGCAGAAGAAGCGACAGACCTCGCCACTGCTCACCTATAAGATCATACCGCTTAAGTTGATGGAGAAGCGGCTGCAGCAGTTCAAGACGCCGGTGGTGCAGCTCAACCAACAGGCGACCTTGGCCGCCCGCGGCGATTACGTGGTCCCGCCCCCCGCCACCAATGACCTGCAGGTGGACGCACTCTTCGTCAAAATGGAGTTCGTTCAGTACCTGAAGAGCATCCGCAAGATTCTCGACAATCAGAGGAAGCAGCTGTGCAAAAAGAAGCCCATCCAGTTGGCCATGCCAATTGGCAGTCAGAACAAGAGCTAAGCCAAGCTCAAGACAACCGGTGCAAACCTCCATTCCACAAACACAAAAAACAACAACAAAAACGAGGCTCAATCCATCAGACATCCTTAATTTATTAAACATCCTATATTTATTACTCACGCCACACCATAAACATCAGTCACGACGAATCAAAAATCACGAGGAATCCCAGGCTATGAAAAACCGAATAACTTGAAAAGAACAATCAAATCAAAACACAAAATGCGAATGATATGAATATATCTAAAGACGAAAGTATATGTATTTTTATTTTTATTTTTTTTTTGTTTAGCTGTAAGTCCCATTGTATTATTTATTATGACAACTCTCGCCAACAATCTGCCGAACATTCCGCTAGATTCTAGGTATACTAAGATATAATTTGCCTTGTATTACGATGCTGTGATAGTAGTTGATTAAAGCTATATATCTCCCCCGACTATATACACGGATATATATGTTATGTACGATTATATATATACACCTCTATGTAATTTAGCTTTGTGTAGGTATTAACTTTATAGAAATCAAATATAAAAAACAATTGAAAAGACACACGTATCGAGAGTTTTACTGCTGGGTGGTCGATGGCGCTGATGGCGCCAACATATCAATTACACCCGAACCGGGATTAAATATATTCCCACCGAAATTGCGCATACGCCACGTTTTTTTTTTTTTTTTGGATGGAGAGCCCAAAGGTAAAAGAGAGACATTAAAGTGTCCAAACAATTTCCTTTTACGATCGTCGCCGTGGCTTTAATTGCAGCAGAATTACGCGGCATTTATAGACTTGTTCAAATATTTTATGAGCCATATAATAATTCTCTCCTCTGGGTCACCTTTTTTTTTTTTTTTTTTTGTATGCCTTTGTCCCTTTGTCAACTGCAATAATGCACACACGAGATTTAACGACAAGGAATGTTTGTCGCCGCTCTTGATTCTCCAGTCTCCGATTCTCTGTTCGCTGTTCGCTGTTCTCCGTTCACTGTTCTCCCCCCAACAAATCTCCAATTCTCCCGGGCTTATCACCATGCCGGAATCTACGCGCGCACCTTCACTGAGCCCTGGATTTTTGATGTTGATGTTGATGTTCTCGTTCTCATTCCCATTCCCATTCTCCTCTGCGGTTTGCCAGAGTACCCGAATCCACTTTATCGCACACAATCAGCAATTGTCATTAATTTCGGACTCGGTGTACGTGCTCCGATTTGTCTGGCCAGCCGACTCCTTTTCTTCTGCTCGGTGACTTGACTGATTCAACAATTTAATGTGCCAAAGATAGAGCGACAGAGAGGGATGCATTACCATTCCCCTTACCGATCCCCTTACCATATTCCCGTCCCCAGTAAAGATGGTTATCACACTGATTTTATTGTGTCCTCTCCCTGCGGCAGCCTCTCCGTGCGATCACTGGCCAAGATCACTGGGATCTTGGATCTCGGATCATGGATCATGGATCATGGCCAGGTTCGAGATCCGAGATCCGAAATCCGAAATCCGAATGGGGCAGGCGCACATGCAACTATGCGATACCATTCATGGCCTTTCGCCTCGCTAGGGCCATCGCCATCCCTCTCTAATACAGTACACCCCTCTCTCTTTCGCCGCTTTGCATGCAGTTAGCGTCAACGTCAACCCTTTTGTCCCTTTCAGGTGCACGTAGCGCGCATCCATCTTCAGTTTTGATAGGTTTTTATTGGCCTGACCTTTATTAAATTGAAAATTATGTCTTTCTATGAGAAATGTTGAAATTCCTTCGGCCATCGCAGTCCGGAAACCCTTTATTTGTCTGGGCATATGCGTTATCAATCGGTTTGGGGGATCTGTAAGTTAGATACTTATAGCAATTAGTGGCTAGTGGAAAAGGTTATTTTTTGTTGGTTGATTTTAAAAAGTATGGGTTGTAAATGCAGTTATGTAGAAAATTTATTTTGATTTTTAATTGTTTCAATAGAAAACTTGGCATCTTGGTCAAGAGTTTAACAATTGCATTGAAAGATCAAGAACAAAAAAAATTTTTTTTTTATAATTAATTTTATAAATGTTATTAGTAGCTACTTAATTAATAAAAACATATTTTGATCAGCATGCAACTTATAAATATGTGTTACCTAGATTATTTTAAGCAAGTTATTAAATTAACCTGAAAGGTAAATTTTTGAAAATTATAATTCTTTATTTATTAATAAAAGAAAAAACAAGGTATCCCTGAAGTCGAGACCATTGATACCCCCGTTTGGACCTTCTCCTCACCTGGCTCCTGCTGAATGAACTTTTGCGCCTGCCACTGATCTAATCTAAATGTTTATTTTGTTTTGTTTCTGTTTTCTGTTCAGTTTTGAATCTGGATATTTTGTGTCCGACTGCTGTTCCCGTCACAAGTCACGTGCAGGGAACTGTTTCTTGTCTTGGTCTTCAGCAGTCTTCAACGCGGCGGCAATTAATTTAAAATATCTTATTTCATTTGTGTTTTTCTTGTTTTCCCTCTTATTTTATATTTAACTTGTATTTGCCGTGTGTATTTTTGAGTTATGTTTTCCGCTGCTGATTTCCTCAGATAATGGCGTTACATTTATGTTCCCTAAATGTTCCCAAGGTCCAAAAGATGAGGCGGCGAGGGGGCGGGGCGTCAGGGGGTAGCCCGCCCACCAAGGCGTGTGTCCAGTGTCCAGTATCTCCAATAGTTCCGATTGTAAAACGATTCGCGTGGAGTTTTCAATTCGCGACTCTCCCACGAAACTGCAATAATTGCTGGATCATCGAATCCAATTCGTCCGCCTGTGGGAATCTCTTTGCAGTGCGGAAGATTCTCTAGGAGGAGTTGGAGACGGTGGGGGGGGGAAGACTGCTCTCCACTGAGGTGTTGAAATCTCCGGCCACAACTCAGCAGTTTCTCCGTTCACGGAATCAAAAGCTGGCCAGCTGCTCTTGGGCAATTGAAATACAATTTCCTCAAGAAGCGATCTTATTGTAAACATAATTGTCGAGCTGCAAAATTGGAGGTTGAGCTCGACTTGCTGACGGCTGTGAAAAACCCAATTTGACAGAGAAGGCCAATGCAAAAGTGCTGGAGGAGAAAAAGTGCGACATTTCCAAGAAGCTCTTCAAATCCAATGAAACTTATTTTTCTCTAACAGAAGGTAAGCCAAGGAAACGTCTTAAATTTATTCTTCTTCATTTAAAAAATCTTTTCAAAAATCAGTTGTGCATTTCTTAATTTATCTGTATGATCACTTTAACAAAAACGTTTTTTTCCTCTTAAATTAATCATTAATTGTCCGAAAATATCATACGAAAAATCAAGTCTGCATTTCTTTGTCAGTATGATCATTAAAAAAATCATATATGCATTTCTAAAATTATATTAACATCGATCTTCAACATTTAATCCAAGAAGAGTAACATAACTCATTCTTTTAAAATATTTGACTGCCTTTGGCCAGCTGTAATCCCTTTAACTTTCTCTGTTTTGAGGCCCAAAAATCGGGTCATTCAATAGCCATCTGACCAGAAGGACATGGTCCAGTCTGAAGCCGTCTAAGCGGCGCCTTGGCCCAAATAAATTACGATCACTTAACAATGAAGCGGCCTTTTCATGCACATTTTTGTGTAGTGTGTGTTTTACTTCTTTTATTTTTTTTTTTTTTTTTTTTGGCGTTTTCATGCAACCCCCGATTTTCCGCTTAATAAGGTCGAAAGGTGTTTTCAATTGCGAAATGGGATTCAATTGTCTGGCGGAAAAACAGCACTCAAGAGCGAGGGCCGCAAAACATAAAGTGACACAAATTATGAAAGAACCACCGAGGGATCTATCGATCGAGCTAGATCGAGATCGAGACCGAGATCAAAGGTGACGCGCCCACTCTGCAAACGGGCAACAAACGACAATTGAATCGCCTGCCAGCGGGACAAAAGCGGTACAGTGGAGGGGGAAGGGGAGCGGTACAAGGGGCAGCTGGACAATCGCACAATGAAGTGATCAGTGCCGGACAATGGGCTGGCGTTTTTAATTGTCAATGAATGCCACATCAGCTCTTGACCTTTTGCGGCTATTTGGGAAACAGTTGCTCCTGCTCGAACCATGACTTCAGTTTTCCATCCGTGCGAAAAAGGTGGTCCACCACCCAGGTGAGAAGACCCAAAAAAAATTCCAGCGCAACGCTGGCGATTCAGATGCCGATTTTGATGAGCGTTGCGACAATGGAATTGATATAATTAATGGCCACATTGGCGCCAGACTTTCGGGACACAAAAAGGGAACCACTACTCGGGAACTGAGCGACGCAATGTACACTCTGGCAAAATGTGTGGCAGTTTAAGTTCAGTTTTGGAAAGTAATCAATAAAATAAAATAATAAGCATGAAACATAATGTTATCAAAAACTAATAAGCTATTTTGTGTCATGTGTTGAATAAACATAAAGTAAAGAACAACATATTCTTTTTACTAACTATGTAATCTTACTTTTAATATTAATCCAAATTAAAGCAGTTACTCCTTCGAGCGCTTATGAAAAATGCATTTTTAAATTAGTATTTTGGGTATTTTTTTTAATTTGTATTAATAATACAATTAAATCTTTACGAAATATAAATTTACATGAATTAAATTTATTTTCAATGTTTGACTTTAAAGATGTTTCAATTTTGACCTTCGATTTAATGTTTTAATTTTGATCTCCTATCTTTTTTATTTCCTGATTAATGACCTTTTGACTGATAAACAGTACTCAGAGTTGTCGTATTTTTTCCAGGTGCACATATTTTGCATCTGATGTTGAATCAAAGCAGGAGCATAAATTGATGAGCGTGTGCCTGCGAGGTCCTGGCAAAGGGGCGGGGTTTTCGGTGTGGTGCCAGCTTATCGCTGGACAGGATCAGGGCGCAAACAGAACGGACAAGCGGATGGAGGGGGGTGGTAGGGTAGAGTAAGGATGAGGGGGAGGGGGAGGGGAGACGCAAGTCAATCAGTCAAACACGAAGGCAATCACTCAATGGGAACACACACACACGCCGGCAAAAAGAGGCGAAGAGGTCACAATTCACAAGTGGCCCGTCAAATATTGACGGAACCCCTTTTGGGACAAAAGGGGCACAGGACAAAAACTTCACAGGCGAATGCGATGGACAAATATTTGAATATGGAATCGGAATCGGAATCGGAATCGGAATCCCACCATGTCGACTCCTCCACCTCCTTAAGGGATGTGGAATGCGGTGTGGATCTTGTTAACTGATATCGCTGCAGTTCAAGTTGCAGTTGCAGTTGCATTCGCATCCGTCCTCAGGTGCTCGAATGCTCGAATGCTTGAATGTTCGACTATTCGAGTGCTCATGTAATCCTGGACAGTTCATTAAACCGAACGCGACTGGACTGCAGTTAATTGGTTGCCCATTATGGAGCTAGTCTGGGCCCGATCCGATCCCAGTCGATCGATCCGAGGCAAAACGGCAGCTGTATGCAGTCAGAAAAAATGTGTTCTGCATATTAACACATGGAAGTCTATATTAAATTGTGATTACACATAA